TTTGCGACGCAAACGTGCGTCTGCTTCGAATTCGACAGTATTGTTTTCTGTGCTGCTATTTTGATTCGTTTTTTTTTTCAATAAGGCTCAATGATAGGTGTGGCTGTTGTGCGGAGGTGGTGGCAAGTGGCATGGTGTGTTTTTTTTGGCTGATGTGGCTGTTGATTACAGACGAGTTCGAACCCCGCCATGAAACATATTTGTTTTTAATATATCCTTATTACTTCAAAAGAGCGCGTAGCGCGTGCTGCATTTGGTGTTGGAATAAGAGGGTTCGGTGTATCCTTAAGTCGAGTATTCCCTGTTGGAACCTCTTACTTGTTTTTATGTTAAAATAAACCATTGTAATCTATGGGATTATAATAGTTGGGAAAGAAATTACAGAAGAATGGCGATCAGGACGCTGAACTGAGCCATTCGGTTCGTCAGAACCATGACTGTAATTGTTAGCACATGTGGGGGTTACTTGTAAAGCACTAAGTAAATACGTGCAAGGGGCACGCGTTAACTAGTCCAATGAAGTCACTGCTAGGTCTGACGGGGGAGTACTTAACGATTGAAGTGAAATGAAGTCATGAAGGCGTCATCTTATAGTGGAAGTACTACTATTTTCACTATAAATAAACTTAATTCTGGGATATTCAATCAGTATATGCATAATGTTTTCGGATTGGAGACCCTTCATTCTAGACGCCTCCATCAGACTTACTACAGGACTTTTCTGTCTTATATAAGTGTGGGATATCCACAAGTCCTTATTTCTGGATTTAATTTTCCGATGAATATAATCGTTAGATGATATATCTGTTTCAGTATTGCTTATTACCAGTCTATTGTTTGAAAATTTCTTTATTTATTTCTTTAAAAGTATTAACAGTTGGTCCTAATTTCTAATTTAACTTTATCTATTTATCATTTTGTGCAAGCTGACATTTGTCTTCAACTCGTCAACAGGTGCTTATTACGCATTGCCATATCTTACAGTTATAACAATGTATCTTAATTTCTCAAATTTAATTTATTGCGGAGCATGTACAGGGCATATGATACAGGAACCGGGCGAAAGAACACTGCCCAAATTTATAAATATCTACCTGCTATCTGCTTTCTCCCGAATACAAAATTGCGCCTCATCTAAAATTATGTGATTCCGATATTAATTAAGGGTTTTCCATTGCATCTACCGTTTAGGTTAATGAAATTTCACTATTGGTATTGGCTTCGCCGGATACTACCTCATTTTGCAGAGCGTTCACATTCGGACAAAAAAGAGTATCCGTGAAACGATTTTTTTACGCCTTCCATCTTTAAATTTTTGCGTTTGCGTTCCTAACTGAAGTCAAGGATTGGTCTGAGTAAATATTTGTGTTATTTTGTTAAGTTCACCCTAGTGCCCAGATCATGGATCGACCAATAATTATCTTTCGTTAATAGCATGGTGTGTTTCATTTCATTTTCAACGTTCCTAAAATTGGAGTGATGGGCCTTCCCTCTTGTTTCAAAACTGCAGCAATACCAGAAGCATCGTTAAATCGAATAGCTTCCTGAAATCTGGGTATCTGAGTAATAGCCTCTGTCCACTGGTTTAAGAAATGTCACATTTTCAAATTTCACATATTGGTGTTCCACCGGTTGTCGGTAACAAGTGAGTGGCAAAAGTACCGCTTCTTAAAAAACAGCTGATCGAGTTTCTTTAATTTACATAGGCGCCGTAAAGTTCTCCTTCCAAAACTCAAAAGATGCGCCCTCGAAGTAAGGGCTCTATTTTAGGTACTCTTTTCGACATTTCGCCATGTTTATATTAAAAAAACAGTGATATTATTTTAATTTTGAATTTCTTATTTAAAGTTGCCGCTTGCCTTCGTTGATATATCAGCTGTTTATGTTTACGATACTTTACCATTTTTCACAACATCGATAGAAATCTCGATTAATCATCGCAAAAAACACGAAACATTCGGGGCGAATTTACACATTTCTGAAAAATGTGCCTTTTTTGAAAGATCACACATCTCAATGTGTTTTCTAATGGGGAAACGCACAGGGCGCATATCACACATATGTCAAAAATGTGACATTTCATAAAATGTGTCAGAAATGTAATCAGTGGACAGAGGCTATAAGACATCTTGTCAGTTCTTAGGCCCTTAAAATGAATGGGAGTTTTTATTGAAAAGGGTTTGTTGATGGAGCCATTTCTACCTTATAACAGGTTTGTCAGTGGCCCTGCGTTTGTTGCAAAATCTTTAACAAAAAATCTGCAGTAATTGGCCAAGCCCAAAAATGATCTGAGCTCGAACAGATTTTTCGGTTCCGGGTATCTTGCGTTTTCAGGATCGGTCTTCAGGCCTCCCATTACTACCATAAAACCAAGGAACTCAACAACATGATCTAAAAAATGTTTCATTTGCGTCACACGTGCTCTTTAATTCCTAGTCAATGTGTTTTACATGATCTTTTTTATTTTCAGAGAATATTAAACCATCACCGACGTAAACATAGCACCTTTTTTTTAATCTGCAAAAATTCGCTAATTTAACTTATTAAAGCTGATAGAAATGCGTTTATTCCGGTCACAGTCTTTTTATCAAAAACCCACTTTGGGTTATTGTACGGTGGCCTTGAGGGCCGAAAGGGCCGCTTCGCAATAATGCTTGGATTTGTTTATTGCCGAAATCAGCAACTCCCATGGGGTGAGGATACCATTGCGAGTGCGGATTGTAGCTGCATCTGAGTTATAAATGGCAGTGTCTCGTTAGAAGTCATAAATGCCGTTGCTCTTGTATCTATTAGATTTTTAACATATATCCGAGCCATCCCTCGTTCGATAAACAGTAGCTGGGAATGTTCCCTAAGACATGTAACAAATCGTTGTCGGAGTCATCTTGAACCTCGGGTACCGCCGTGGCTAAGTAGTCTTGGTCATCAAAGGCCTGCTGTACAGCAGTACTGTGCAGCCGCTCTGCCCTGTCATAAGTTCAGACGTATATTATCTTTTTTGGCCCTGTACATTTGCATCCTGCGTGTAAGCGTCTTCATACATCCCAAAGTACATACGCTTTCTAATCTGTTTATGTGAAAAGGTTCTGACCTCTGATCTTGATCTTCTTCAGGGTCCTGCTTTTGACTTTCAGTGTCTAACCTGATTTTTTAAAAAACGCTTGTCTCTGCTATTAGTTCCCCGTTTGAACTGATGGAATTCCCTCCTAGGGGCCAGGGCGTATGTTGCTGCAAGCATACTTCTTCCGATGCTTGCGGAGGTGGAACCCCCCTAGCTAAAGCCAAGTGCATAGCAGGAATTTTGGCTGATTTTCTTTCTTCTGATAGTAACACTTTGAATATGTGTGCTGCTGCCTTCGCTCTTATTGCATTTTACGTTTGACTTTCGGATCTACAAATTTTCTTCGATATGCATCTACCTTTTTCTAAGTGTAGACTGTATATTTATTTATAAATTACTAAATTAATTGGTAGTCGTTAATTTACCTACTTTACGTCCACTTACATGGGTGATAAATAATTGCCAAAGAACAGACACATTTGTTTAAGAAAATTAAAAACTATATTTCTTTATAAAGAATGAACGTAAAAACTAACATACATAGAGATATAGAAGACTTCAGCTTATGGCTGAAAACAATAATAGTGAGATTATCTTTACGTCCATATTATTACACAAAATCAAATTAAAATTTTTAGGTTAAATAATGATTATATATCATAATAAATTAAAAAGCAAATGAAATAATACCATGGATAATAAGTCAAACCCTGTCTGCTTTTTTAATATAAAATTACACAATTCTAGCTCGGATGGTGGATTGATTTGTGAGTTACCCAATAAGAAAGTGTGACTCTCTGGTATGGACGGAACTAAGATAGTTTATTATTCTTGTAATTGTGTGTGATTTTTTTATTTATTTTTTTTTTAAGGGGATGCAATTAAATGGCAGTTATTCAAATATATATGTATATTAAAATAAATATATCGAAAGCACTCTTCCTCTTCTTTTGGAAAATTAGCGCGTGTGTGTGGAACAGCAGTTTAATAACTCTTTTACTTTCTTTATAGTCATACTACGGAAAATTACGGAGAATTTAGCTTTATTTCAAAAGTTTGTGACACTTAGCAATTGTCTTTGCTTTAATGCGTAAATAAAAGAAGAAAATATATAATATGAAAACTCATACTCAACTCTCAATATTTGTTCTCAAATTTAATTAATACAGTGCTCTTTTTCATATCCTAGATTCAACTTAGAAAAAATAACGTAATTTTTATAAAAGAAGCTAACCCTACTCTCTAAAATCAGGCGCGTAGCTGCTCGTGCATGTCTGCTTCCATGTATTGTTTTAATTCCCGCCAGTGCATAAAAATTCAGTGAAAACAGGCAACGAACTCCTTCTTATGGCGAGACGGTATGACGAGTAAACCAAATCCTTTGTGATTTTGATGGGTGGCCGCCATGATTAAGACACGTTTGTGATATATCGATATTTTTGAGGACGCGTTCCTACAAATGTCTTGCCAGAAAATGGAATAGTAACAAATACTTCTAGATATATATAATTTTTATGTATTTTAGAATTACTAGCCAATGATACCGGATATTGCATTTCTTTATTAACCATACCTGACAGGCGATAAGCCATCACATAAGGAAAGTTTCCCCATAAGAGCGTGTAAAATGTGGTAAGCGCCTTTTGCTACGAATAAGTACATAATTCATTATTAAGGCTACCTGAAATATTAAACTATTGCTTACTCACAAAAGCCTACACGCTTTGTGAAAATTTCTAATTTTATAATAATTTATAAAATCTACTTAAACATTTTTTATAATATAGAAAACTTTATTCGTCCAATCGGCTGTAGAAGTGGAAGCGTGATTTAACTTACGATGAAAAGGCTTTAAATTCAGCAGATATATTTCTGGGGCTGAAATCGAATGCTTTGTATCGATATTTTATCATCCCTATTCTGGTTGTATATGTATTTAAATGTTGTTTTAGTAAGTTAATCGTTCGTAATCAAATAAGGACAAATGGATCATTTTAACTTTGGAGGCTCAGAAATAACTCGCGGACATATGTTTCAAATGTTCCTGCGAATCTCTATAGCCTCTGTAATAACATATTACTCTGTGAAATGGATGATGAACCAGTTAGATCCAACCAGTAAAAACAAAAAGAAAGCTAAATTGCTGGCCGAAGAACAATTAAAAAGGTTTGATGTACTTTATAAAATGAAATCAACTAAAACTAATTGTAAATTTTTTTAGATTGAGTAAAGAAAATAATTTCAATGTTAATCTACAAACGTTTACTGATTATGAGTTGATGATTGCATCACACCTAATTGTCCCAGCCGACATAACAGTTAAATGGAGCGATATAGCTGGCTTAGATTCAGTAATTCAGGATCTTCGTGAATCCGTTGTTTTACCTGTGCGACATCGCGATTTGTTTAAGGAATCAAAACTTTGGCAAGCTCCCAGAGGTGTACTTTTGCATGGACCGCCAGGATGCGGGAAAACATTAATTGCCAAAGCAACTGCTAAGGAAGCGGGCATGAGGTTCATTAACTTAGATGTGGCTATACTTACTGACAAGTGGTACGGAGAATCGCAAAAACTTGCATCTGCAGTTTTTTCGTTAGCTGCAAAAATTCAGCCATGCATTATATTCGTAGATGAAATTGATTCATTTCTGCGTGCGCGTAATTCGAATGATCATGAGGCCACGGCAATGATGAAAACTCAGTTCATGATGCTATGGGATGGACTAAGTACGAATCCCAACTCAGCAGTAATTGTAATGGGTGCTACTAACCGCCCTCAGGACCTTGACAAGGCTATTGTTCGTAGAATGCCAGCTCAGTTTCACATAAGCCTTCCATCCGAAGTTCAAAGAATGCAAATTCTTAAACTAATATTAGCAACTGAAGAAATCGATCACAATGTTGACTATAATCATTTAGCTAAACTTACAATTGGATTTTCTGGTTCAGACCTTCGAGAAATGTGCAGAAATGCTTCTGTATATAGAATGAGACAATTTATGCGATCGAGTGATAAACTGCAATCGCCTTCAAATCTTGCAAGTACTAATACTAACAAAACTTTAATTACTATTACAATGGACGATTTGCTTAACTCTCACTTAAAAATGAAAGAATCTAAAATGCACACTGGAAGTCTTTTTCTGGAAAATCGAATGGACTTGGATTAATTTATTTTGAACGTATATTTCGCTTCAAAAATGTTAATATTTCTTATTTCCAAATATAAAAAGTATATAAATGCGTCTTTTGTTTAAACCATTTAGCACGACTCAAAACCTTTAGGGCTTACATTTTTGTTGTCAAATTTAATTTTTACGAAATATTTTCGTATCACAAGTTTAGGGAAATTCCCTTTTTGTGGATACCAGCAAATATGTCAGCAATTATAAATAGCACAAATTTAGGGGAACTCCCTTTTTGTGGATACAAGCCAAATTACTTGTCAGATCAATTGAAATGTTTTATTATTTTGTGAACTATCAATGCAATCAGACTCGTTTGGTAATCAAATTTTGTATAGTCAAATTTGTTTATTAATGTTACATTAATTTTAATTTTAACACATTAAGATAAAAGGTAAGCCAACAAATATTTTTTATTATATTATTTAAATTTTTTATTTTGTTATATATTTTATGTATCCCTAAGAGAAAATGTTGAACAATTCAACTAACGAATTAAAACGTAAGCCATTTATTTGGAAACCAAAATTAAAATTTTAGATCGCCTTCGAAATGGAGAAGGCTCAACATATCTTGGCCAAATGTTTGGTTTAAAGAAAGCCACTGTAAAATCTATAAAAATAAAATGAAATTTCAATTAGGCAGTCGGTGATTTTTGGAACGAAACTATCTGTTACGTCTTCATCATGCACCAGAGATGCTTATAGTGAAAAAATGAAAAAAAATATCCATAATATGGCTTGGAAACAATATAAAACAGCAAGCATTAAAATTATAAAAGACGAACAACCGTCGTCCTCTACACAATCAACTCCCAAGAAGAGCTTCTCATTTTCTGAAAGCTGAGGAACTGATGAGGACAGCAATTAAATTTATGTATTTATGATTATAATTTTAATTTTTTTTAATAATCTGAACCTATTGAAAATGGGTTAAAAGGTATTATGTATTTGTGCAAATGTATGTAACTGGCAGAAGGAAGCATCTCCGACCTCATAAAGTATATATATTCTTGATCAGCACCAATTGCCACATCGATCTAGCCATGTCCGTCCGTCTTTCCGTATGTATGAACCGCACGGATAACAGAACCTATAAGAGCTAGAGACTTGAAATTTTAGCTGTAGCCTCCTAGTGCCTGCGCAGATCGATTTTGTTTCCGATATTCGATAACTTGCCCTGTATTCAAGTGATCCATAAGAATCGATATTAAAATCCTATTTTTTTTTTAGCAATTTTGGTAAATAATAAGAGCTAGAGTCACCGAATCGATATTTTGCTTCTAGACTAGTATATATATATCAAGTTTTTTCATTTTATAGCTATCATTACCTCCCCGCTACTACCTCATAAATATAAATCAAGGTAATAAACCAATTTAAGCTGCCCACCAATATAAGACACAATTTAAATGCAATTGACTATTTGAGAATACACAAATATTCTATGGTTTAATGAGATATACCGTAGAAAATTTCATAAAGATCGGTCAAGAATCAACCAAAGCTTTGTTTTGCTGCGCAATTAGATGGGGCAGCTAGCGCAAATTGCAAGAATTTTTGAATACATGTACACACACATTCATACAGCATTGCAATTGCGATTGTTTTCTGTGCTCTATTTGAATTCGTTTTTTTCTCAATAATACACAAAAATTTGGTAATTGGCTGTTGACTAGAGGCATAGCAAGTGGTGCGGTCTGTCGCGAGTCCTCTAGAGTCCTCTACTATTTTTTTTTTTTGGCTTGTGTGGCTGTGGAATAGAGTCGTCAGCCAGTAATGCGGTCAGTTGCGAGTTCGATCCATGCCAAAGCATGTAATTTACTTCACATTTACATTTACATTACTTTTAAACTTAGAATGCTTATATTTTGTATACCCTTGCAGAGGGTATTATAATTTTCTCGTGAAATGTGTAACGCATAGAAGGAGACATCTCCGACCCCGTGAAGTATATATATTCTGGATCAGTCCGTCTGTCTGTTTCTATGTGAACTAGTCTCTCAGTTTAAAAGCTATCTTTATGATACAGAAGTCGCTATTTCTGTTGCACGCAGTACATCTGTATGTCAGTACCAGCTGGATCGGACCACTATATCATATAGCTGCCATAGGAACGGTCGGTCGAAAATAAATTTGTTGTATTAAAAACATTTGTGTTTATTAAGATATGTTGACCAAACTCGGCATTTATTAGTTTTACTATGCTCCTTTTATATACGCAAAATCATATCATCATTGGACCACTATATCATATAGCTGCCATAGGAACGATCGTACGAAAATTAAGTTGTTGTATGAGAAACACTTTGGATTATCAAGATATCGTGACCAAATTCGGCATTAATTACTTTTACTATGCTCGTCATATATATGCAAAATCCTATTAAGAACGGACCACTATATCATATAACGGCCATAGGAACGATCGATCTACAACTAGCTTCTTGTATGAACAACTTTTTTTGCTTATCAAGATATCTTGACGGCTTTGGTTATATGAATGGAACATAAAAGTCAAATTCTACATCCATTGACATAAGTAATAATATTTCGTTTTTAGCAATAGTAGATTTATTTATTATTACACCAAAAAAGTGAATATTTAGATGCGTACATTTTTATGGTTAGAGAGCTCGAGGTAGAAGAAGGTGTACATTTCTGTGCTGCCAAATCGCCACAGTACCCCCTTCTACACTTCAAGTTGTGAAACGAACGGCGAGCATAATTGTGCGGCGAGGCCTTCTGGATTGTTGAATCAGTATAGGTGTGTTGGGAGTATCCTTGGATGCGTCTTGTTTTTGACCTAATGGCGATGTAGCTTCTGAGTTGGTTGTCGTTGATTGTTGTGTTTCTATGAAAGTATCGTGACCATTGATAAGTATGTTTTGATTTTCTTCAAATGGTCCGTCGTAGGGCGTCTGAAGCGATCCACGTACCGTGTCGTTTCGCAGAAAAACATGAGTTGAATCAGCTAATTGCATAAAGATGAAAGGCTTCGATGAGTCGTGGTTGGATGTTTGAATTGGTCGGATTTCGCGCATCATCTCTGTTAGATTCTTGGCAAAATCAGTTTGTGTTTGAAGTTGACTGGAGTTGCTGAAATATTCTCCAGGAAGTCGAAGAGTTGTGCTGCTGTTGTTTGGATGTCGGGTTTATATGCTGAACAAAGGCCGAGGAGAATCATTGACAATATGGATGGCCAGCCGATCCTGTTGTGACACATAATAGCTGCCTTAATCGTGCGGTGCCAACGTTCGATGATTCCGTTTGCCTGTGGAAGGTAGGCGGTTGTTCGTAAATGGTCAATACCGAGGAGGCGCGATAGCTCGCTAAATAACCTTGATTCAAATTGTCTGCCTTCGTTCGAGGTGATGTGTGCTGGAACTCCAAAGCGATAAATCCATGTGTAGATGAGTGCTGTGGCTACTGTTTCAGCTTGGATATCCTCGATGGCGATTGCATCTGGCCGTACTGTATAATATTTTTTCGATGTGCCTGCGGTATGAATGGTCGCACTGTGGAAGTAGAAAAATTGCAAAAGATTGGAGAACTTGATTGCGGTAAGTTGATAGATTTGATTTGAAGTGGAGTTGTGTTGTCATTAAGTAGCTTTTTTTGCACTGGAAAACTTGCTTGTGAAACAGCAATCTTATTGTAGTCGATGATGTGGGCTTCAATAGTTTCGATTCGAGAGGGTGTACAGCACTAATGTTATCGACACCTGCTATGTGCAGAATAGATGTCGTGAATTGTCCGATAAAATCTAGCTGACAAAGCTGCCGTGGAGCAGCTTTTTCAGACGTTTGAGTAAAAGCGTATTCCAATGGTTTATGATCAGTGTGGACTTCAAACATTTTACCTTCGAAGTAAAAGGTAAATTGCTAGAATCTCTCGTGCATTAGTAAGTTTAACACTAAAAAATCCCATTGGCTGAAGCTCATTGTTGACGATCTGGTGCAGTCCAGCGCCAACGGCTGTATCGAAAGCGTCCGTGCTGACGATAAGTGATCATCTGGAGCAGGACGTACCAAAAGTGTTGCTGCAGCTAAGGAACGCTTGGATTTCTCAAAACGTTTTAGCTTGTCACCTGTCCAGGTTATTGGAGTTGAGTCGTTGTTTTTGTTACCCGGTATTAATTGTACCACTGGTGCTTGATTTTGAGTGCTTTTGGCAGGAATCTTCGATAAAAGTTAATCATTGTCAAAAAAGTTTCAGTTCTTTTGCGACTGTGGGCAAGGGAAATTCAACGATGGTTTTGACTTTGTTTGGTAATGGTTTGATGCCACTATCAAATGACCAAGAAACTTGATTGATGTTTGACCGAAATACCTTTGGAAGGTTTGTGTACCGTTGCACAATCCAAATGTCATGTGCGTAAACTCAAATAATCCAAATGGTTATTGGTTATTGCAGTCTTTAGGCCGTCTTCTGGTTCGATAGGGACCTTGTGATATGCACGGTTAAGATTAATTTTTGAGAATATTTTCTTGCCACGCAAAATATGTGTACAGTCTTATATGTGTGGAGTGGATACCGATCCGGAACAGTTTTTGCGTTGGGGGCGCGGTAATCACCACATGGGCGCCATTCACCTGTTTGCTTGCGGAGCATGTGCAACGGCGATGCGTATGCACTTTTTGATAGTCGGCACACACCTATTTTAAACAAGAACTCGAATTCCATTTTGGCAGCCTTGAATTTGTCTGGCGTGAGTCGACGAATGTCGGTAGGTTTTTTGTCTCAATGCACTGAGTTACACTAGATGTTGTGTGCTTCGGTGCTAAGGCATTGAGTTGTGTGATGGCCTTGATATCCTCCAGAAGTCGGGCGAACTCACAGGATACATTAAACGTTTTAAATGTTGATGATCGAAGGCTGCAGACACCTTGACGTGTAATCAAAGTTTGAGCGTCGATTAATTTAGCATCTTTGATATTGACAAGAAGGTTATAGAGCTGTAGAAAATCTGATCCAATGATTGGAAATGTTGTGTGAGCAATCATAAAATTCCCTGTGTATGGATGACGTAACCCAAGATCGAGAGTGAGGCGGTTCAAACCATATGTGTTAACGGTAGTGCCGTTAGCAGCAAAAAGTGGATTTTCGCCGGTGGCTAAGAATCGTCGGTTTATGGCTGCAGAAGGTATGACTGACACATCTGCGCCAGAGTCGATAAGGAACTTTTTACCAGACTGAATCTGGAATAACTAGTCGATTAGAGATTGTTATACTGTGAACGTTTATACTAAGCTTGGAAAAAATTTGTATGGCATGCACAGATTGGCCGTCAAAGTTGCCAATTTGATTTTATTCGACGGTGTTTGCTAGTTTTTTGGGTTGTTGGTTTGAATTAAGGAACATGGAGAAATGCAGTGTTGGGCACTGCAGCCATACTTGTATTGATACTAGCAATTTTGATTTGAATCGACCTGTGCGATCGGTGTATTGCTGCGGTTGCTTTGTGATCGATTGCGACTGCGAGTGCGTCGATTTCCGTTGTTGTTATTGCTGTTGAGCAGCTGACCAAGTTTTGCATTGATTTTTTGAAACTTTATATCCTGGGTATTCTGACGTTTTTCAGTCTCAGTGATGCGGCAGTCAATTAGATGCTCAGTTGAAGTGTTGTTACGTGAAAGCACTGCGACGTTATCACATGAAGTATAACTGAGTGTATCCATTACGGCGTCAGCGGCTGATGCAAGTTGCGATAGTGTTGTATTCGTGGAAGTCCTAAGAATGGTTGGAATAGTAGGCGTTTAGGGCGTTTAATCCAATAACGACGTACCACTGATTCGTCGTTAGTAGCATTGGTTTGCTGTAGTTGGCTGAGGAGATGGCTTTTGCGTCCATCACCGAGTTGAATGCCAGTGGCAAGTTTGTCGAGGCGTGTCATCTCTGACTCAGCGAACTTTGCGAGGATGGCCTGTTTGAGTGTAGTGTAAGGATTTGTTTGAGGCTCATTATGAACAAGATCGTGATCTAAGTATTTGGGAGCCGCATATGTGATGTCGGCGGCGTACTTCTCGTATGCCTTCCGTAAGCCTATGCCTTTGAAAGAAACCAACTTTCTAGCTTCGTGAAAAACATTTCAATGTTTGTAACCGTGTGTAGTTGAGGAAATGGCATCTTGACAAAAATAGAATTTACATTGTCTTGAACCCCTGCATTGCTGTTCTCAATGTGAGCGCTAGCATTATTCTCGTCCTCCATTTCGATTTTAAGCGTCATGTATTTCGTGGAAAAGCAAAATGTCTATGTTTGTGTGAATCTGTCGTTGAAAAGCTATATGAGTGTGTCCATTAGCTTTAAATTCTAAATTGAATGGGCGTAAACTTCAGTATGATCATGGAGTATGCCTGATGGTGAAGATTGCAATTTGAGTAAATGCTCCGTCTCTCCTGGGTTGCGCGTAAAGTTTGGCTTAGCTTCGAGCCACACTTTGGTTATTGTCGGGGGTTATTAAATTGGTTATATGAATGGAACTAAGAAGTCAAAATCTACATCCATTAACACAAGTAATAATATTTTGATTTTAGCAATAGTAGCTACAGTATGTCAATAAAGTGTTTTTACTAACAAAAAAAAACTAATTTTTTGGGTTTAGTTGAAAATAAATGTACCTAAAAGTGAGAATTTTTTTTCAATTATAATTTATTTCGATTCTATATTTTTCCTAGAACTTAATGGCAAAAAGAATTGTTAAATAACATTACCCAAACATTTTATAAAATTAAAAAACTAAAAACATTCACATTTTATGCTGTCAATAAAGTGTTTTTACAGCTACGGTAAATTGTTTTGCCGTTCTCTTTTGGGTGATCCCGTTAGATTTGGGCCCATGCGTTTTGGCTTCTCTTGTGTCTTCGACTTTTCTTGTCATTTTCTATTTCAATTTATAACGTTTTGCTTTAATTTTATGAAAAATAAAATGCCAGGAAAAAGAACAACTTTTGAAGTCGCTCAGCTGGTGTATTTTAACCATCAGATGGGACGTCAAGTCTCGGAACTGGCTGATATGTTTAATTTATCAAAAGCAACGATATACAACATATTAAACAGAGCCAATAAGGAAGATAGGCTAGAGGCAAAGCCAGTATGTGGTCGACCCTGCAAAATTTCTGACAGAGATAAGCGAAAAATTCTGAGAAAAATTGAGAAAAATCCACAAATTTCGCTTAGGGATATTGCTCAGGAGTTCAAGGAAGAAAGTGGTGTTGATGTGTCACATGAAACTGTCCGAAAATTACTGAATTCCAATGACTACACATCACGAGTTGCCAGGAAAAAACCTCTACTATCGGCGGCGATGATTGCATCACACCTAATTGTCCCAGCCGACATAACAGTTAAATGGAGCGATATAGCTGGCTTAGATTCAGTAATTCAGGATCTTCGTGAATCCGTTGTTTTACCTGTGCGACATCGCGATTTGTTTAAGGAATCAAAACTTTGGCAAGCTCCCAGAGGTGTACTTTTGCATGGACCGCCAGGATGCGGGAAAACATTAATTGCCAAAGCAACTGCTAAGGAAGCGGGCATGAGGTTCATTAACTTAGATGTGGCTATACTTACTGACAAGTGGTACGGAGAATCGCAAAAACTTGCATCTGCAGTTTTTTCGTTAGCTGCAAAAATTCAGCCATGCATTATATTCGTAGATGAAATTGATTCATTTCTGCGTGCGCGTAATTCGAATGATCATGAGGCCACGGCAATGATGAAAACTCAGTTCATGATGCTATGGGATGGACTAAGTACGAATCCCAACTCAGCAGTAATTGTAATGGGTGCTACTAACCGCCCTCAGGACCTTGACAAGGCTATTGTTCGTAGAATGCCAGCTCAGTTTCACATAAGCCTTCCATCCGAAGTTCAAAGAATGCAAATTCTTAAACTAATATTAGCAACTGAAGAAATCGATCACAATGTTGACTATAATCATTTAGCTAAACTTACAATTGGATTTTCTGGTTCAGACCTTCGAGAAATGTGCAGAAATGCTTCTGTATATAGAATGAGACAATTTATGCGATCGAGTGATAAACTGCAATCGCCTTCAAATCTTGCAAGTACTAATACTAACAAAACTTTAATTACTATTACAATGGACGATTTGCTTAACTCTCACTTAAAAATGAAAGAATCTAAAATGCACACTGGAAGTCTTTTTCTGGAAAATCGAATGGACTTGGATTAATTTATTTTGAACGTATATTTCGCTTCAAAAATGTTAATATTTCTTATTTCCAAATATAAAAAGTATATAAATGCGTCTTTTGTTTAAACCATTTAGCACGACTCAAAACCTTTAGGGCTTACATTTTTGTTGTCAAATTTAATTTTTACGAAATATTTTCGTATCACAAGTTTAGGGAAATTCCCTTTTTGTGGATACCAGCAAATATGTCAGCAATTATAAATAGCACAAATTTAGGGGAACTCCCTTTTTGTGGATACAAGCCAAATTACTTGTCAGATCAATTGAAATGTTTTATTATTTTGTGAACTATCAATGCAATCAGACTCGTTTGGTAATCAAATTTTGTATAGTCAAATTTGTTTATTAATGTTACATTAATTTTAATTTTAACACATTAAGATAAAAGGTAAGCCAACAAATATTTTATATTATATTATTTAAATTTTTTATTTTGTTATATATTTTATGTATCCCTAAGAGAAAATGTTGAACAATTCAACTAACGAATTAAAACGTAAGCCATTTATTTGGAAACCAAAATTAAAATTTTAGATCGCCTTCGAAATGGAGAAGGCTCAACATATCTTGGCCAAATGTTTGGTTTAAAGAAAGCCACTGTAAAATCTATAAAAATAAAATGAAATTTCAATTAGGCAGTCGGTGATTTTTGGAACGAAACTATCTGTTACGTCTTCATCATGCACCAGAGATGCTTATAGTGAAAAAATGAAAAAAAAATATCCATAATATGGCTTGGAAACAATATAAAACAGCAAGCATTAAAATTATAAAAGACGAACAACCGTCGTCCTCTACACAATCAACTCCCAAGAAGAGCTTCTCATTTTCTGCAAGCTGAGGAACTGATGAGGACAGCAATTAAATTTATGTATTTATGATTATAATTTTAATTTTTTTTAATAATCTGAACCTATTGAAAATGGGTTAAAAGGTATTATGTATTTGTGCAAATGTATGTAACTGGCAGAAGGAAGCATCTCCGACCTCATAAAGTATATATATTCTTGATCAGCACCAATTGCCACATCGATCTAGCCATGTCCGTCCGTCTTTCCGTATGTATGAACCGCACGGATAACAGAACCTATAAGAGCTAGAGACTTGAAATTTTAGCTGTAGCCTCCTAGTGCCTGCGCAGATCGATTTTGTTTCCGATATTCGATAACTTGCCCTGTATTCAAGTGATCCATAAGAATCGATATTAAAATCCTATTTTTTTTTTAGCAATTTTGGTAAATAATAAGAGCTAGAGTCACCGAATCGATATTTTGCTTCTAGACTAGTATATATATATCAAGTTTTTTCATTTTATAGCTATCATTACCTCCCCGCTACTACCTCATAAATATAAATCAAGGTAATAAACCAATTTAAGCTGCCCACCAATATAAGACACAATTTAAATGCAATTGACTATTTGAGAATACACAAATATTCTATGGTTTAATGAGATATACCGTAGAAAATTTCATAAAGATCGGTCAAGAATCAACCAAAGCTTTGTTTTGCTGCGCAATTAGATGGGGCAGCTAGCGCAAATTGCAAGAATTTTTGAATACATGTACACACACATTCATACAGCATTGCAATTGCGATTGTTTTCTGTGCTCTATTTGAATTCGTTTTTTTCTCAATAATACACAAAAATTTGGTAATTGGCTGTTGACTAGAGGCATAGCAAGTGGTGCGGTCTGTCGCGAGTCCTCTAGAGTCCTCTACTATTTTTTTTTTTTGGCTTGTGTGGCTGTGGAATAGAGTCGTCAGCCAGTAATGCGGTCAGTTGCGAGTTCGATCCATGCCAAAGCATGTAATTTACTTCACATTTACATTTACATTACTTTTAAACTTAGAATACTTATATTTTGTATACCCTTGCAGAGGGTATTATAATTTTCTCGTGAAATGTGTAACGCATAGAAGGAGACATCTCCGACCCCGTGAAGTATATATATTCTGGATCAGTCCGTCTGTCTGTTTCTATGTGAACTAGTCTCTCAGTTTAAAAGCTATCTTTATGATACAGAAGTCGCTATTTCTGTTGCACGCAGTACATCTGTATGTCAGTACCAGCTGGATCGGACCACTATATCATATAGCTGCCATAGGAACGGTCGGTCGAAAATAAATTTGTTGTATTAAAAACATTTGTGTTTATTAAGATATGTTGACCAAACTCGGCATTTATTAGTTTTACTATGCTCCTTTTATATACGCAAAATCATATCATATAGGAACGATCGTACGAAAATTAAGTTGTTGTATGAGAAACACTTTGGATTATCAAGATATCGTGACCAAATTCGGCATTAATTACTTTTACTATGCTCGTCATATATATGCAAAATCCTATTAAGAACGGACCACTATATCATATAACGGCCATAGGAACGATCGATCTACAACTAGCTTCTTGTATGAACAACTTTTTTTGCTTATCAAGATATCTTGACGGCTTTGGTTATATGAATGGAACATAAAAGTCAAATTCTACATCCATTGACATAAGTAATAATATTTCGTTTTTAGCAATAGTAGATTTATTTATTATTACACCAAAAAAGTGAATATTTAGATGCGTACATTTTTATGGTTAGAGAGCTCGAGGTAGAAGAAGGTGTACATTTCTGTGCTGCCAAATCGCCACAGTACCCCCTTCTACACTTCAAGTTGTGAAACGAACGGCGAGCATAATTGTGCGGCGAGGCCTTCTGGATTGTTGAATCAGTATAGGTGTGTTGGGAGTATCCTTGGATGCGTCTTGTTTTTGACCTAATGGCGATGTTGCTTCTGAGTTGGTTGTCGTTGATTGTTGTGTTTCTATGAAAGTATCGTGACCATTGATAAGTATGTTTTGATTTTCTTCAAATGGTCCGTCGTAGGGCGTCTGAAGCGATCCACGTACCGTGTCGTTTCGCAGAAAAACATGAGTTGAATCAGCTAATTGCATAAAGATGAAAGGCTTCGATGAGTCGTGGTTGGATGTTTGAATTGGTCGGATTTCGCGCATCATCTCTGTTAGATTCTTGGCAAAATCAGTTTGTGTTTGAAGTTGACTGGAGTTGCTGAAATATTCTCCAGGAAGTCGAAGAGTTGTGCTGCTGTTGTTTGGATGTCGGGTTTATATGCTGAACAAAGGCCGAGGAGAATCATTGACAATATGGATGGCCAGCCGATCCTGTTGTGACACATAATAGCTGCCTTAATCGTGCGGTGCCAACGTTCGATGATTCCGTTTGCCTGTGGAAGGTAGGCGGTTGTTCGTAAATGGTCAATACCGAGGAGGCGCGATAGCTCGCTAAATAACCTTGATTCAAATTGTCTGCCTTCGTTCGAGGTGATGTGTGCTGGAACTCCAAAGCGATAAATCCATGTGTAGATGAGTGCTGTGGCTACTGTTTCAGCTTGGATATCCTCGATGGCGATTGCATCTGGCCGTACTGTATAATATTTTTTCGATGTGCCTGCGGTATGAATGGTCGCACTGTGGAAGTAGAAAAATTGCAAAAGATTGGAGAACTTGATTGCGGTAAGTTGATAGATTTGATTTGAAGTGGAGTTGTGTTGTCATTAAGTAGCTTTTTTTGCACTGGACAACTTGCTTGTGAAACAGCAATCTTATTGTAGTCGATGATGTGGGCTTCAATAGTTTCGATTCGAGAGGGTGTACAGCACTAATGTTATCGACACCTGCTATGTGCAGAATAGATGTCGTGAATTGTCCGATAAAATCTAGCTGACAAAGCTGCCGTGGAGCAGCTTTTTCAGACGTTTGAGTAAAAGCGTATTCCAATGGTTTATGGTCAGTGTGGACTTCAAACATTTTACCTTCGAAGTAAAAGGTAAATTGCTAGAATCTCTCGTGCATTAGTAAGTTTAACACTAAAAAATCCCATTGGCTGAAGCTCATTGTTGACGATCTGGTGCAGTCCAGCGCCAACGGCTGTATCGAAAGCGTCCGTGCTGACGATAAGTGATCATCTGGAGCAGGACGTACCAAAAGTGTTGCTGCAGCTAAGGAACGCTTGGATTTCTCAAAACGTTTTAGCTTGTCACCTGTCCAGGTTATTGGAGTTGAGTCGTTGTTTTTGTTACCCGGTATTAATTGTACCACTGGTGCTTGATTTTGATTGCTTTTGGCAGGAATCTTCGATAAAAGTTAATCATTGTCAAAAAAGTTTCAGTTCTTTTGCGACTGTGGGCAAGGGAAATTCAACGATGGTTTTGACTTTGTTTGGTAATGGTTTGATGCCACTATCAAATGACCAAGAAACTTGATTGATGTTTGACCGAAATACCTTTGGAAGGTTTGTGTACCGTTGCACAATCCAAATGTCATGTGCGTAAACTCAAATAATCCAAATGGTTATTGGTTATTGCAGTCTTTAGGCCGTCTTCTGGTTCGATAGGGACCTTGTGATATGCACGGTTAAGATTAATTTTTGAGAATATTTTCTTGCCACGCAAAATATGTGTACAGTCTTATATGTGTGGAGTGGATACCGATCCGGAACAGTTTTTGCGTTGGGGGCGCGGTAATCACCACATGGCCGCCATTCACCTGTTTGCTTGCGGAGCATGTGCAACGGCGATGCGTATGCACTTTTTGATAGTCGGCACACACCTATTTTAAACAAGAACTCGAATTCCATTTTGGCAGCCTTGAATTTGTCTGGCGTGAGTCGACGAATGTCGGTAGGTTTTTTGTCTCAATGCACTGAGTTACACTAGATGTTGTGTGCTTCGGTGCTAAGGCATTGAGTTGTGTGATGGCCTTGATATCCTCCAGAAGTCGGGCGAACTCACAGGATACATTAAACGTTTTAAATGTTGATGATCGAAGGCTGCAGACACCTTGACGTGTAATCAAAGTTTGAGCGTCGATTAATTTAGCATCTTTGATATTGACAAGAAGGTTATAGAGCTGTAGAAAATCTGATCCAATGATTGGAAATGTTGTGTGAGCAATCATAAAATTCCCTGTGTATGGATGACGTAACCCAAGATCGAGAGTGAGGCGGTTCAAACCATATGTGTTAA